TAAGTTATTCTATGTTATATTAAATATTAACTTCTGTTTTAAATATATAATAAAAAAATAAATAAAATAAAAGTTGACCTAAGCTAAGTTATAGAAGCTTAAGAAATCTGCAAAAATACTAATGCCTAGCTTAAATTAAAATTTAAAAAATAAATATCATATAAGATATCTCCTAATGCCTATTGAATGCACTCTGAGACCAATCCTTAATAGAATTGTTTTTCTATAGACTCAAATCTAATTACTTTGCGCTGCATTGCTGCAGCATGTCTCACAGGCTACATCAGAGCTTGTTACACTTTGGTCCGTCCCTCAGCGCTCTGGGCTGCTCTTCGAGTGGCTTGACGCCATAACGCTATAACGCTCTAAACTTAATATTCCTATTTTTCAATTACAACTGACACTCGTCTATGGCAGCCGGGCGCAGCACACACACAAAAAAAAAAAAAAAAGAAAAAATGGAGGACCACACCTCCCACTGACATAGAGAGAGCCTACCACATGAATTGCAATTGTTTCCAGCTGGACGTCGTCGTCGTCGTGGACGGCACACACCCAATGTAAAATGTCATTATCGTTGACATAAATGAATAGCTGCATTCATTGCATTTGGCAGTGGTGAGCCAATGGTGCGGAACACAATATTAGCCACTCTCTCCCTCTTTTTCTCTCTCTCTCTCTCTCACACAGAGCTCCAGCCGCGCAGGTGCGCCACAAGCTGCTCTGCATTAGTTTGTTTTAATTTTGCATTAGCGATTAGCTGATTAAAGCCAAGAAGCGGCCCACGAGCCACTGTGAATTGTGGACTCATTTGAGCGATCTAATGATAAGCCTCAACGACCGACCGAGCGACTTCAGTAACTGTGGCTGGCTTATGTGAAGGGCGAACATTTAGATTACAATAATTCTTGACAAAGCTGACTTATTGCGGCTTAATGTATAAATTTATCATTTCATTTAACCTTTACTCGTTTGGAATAGATAATAGATTGTATTGAATGACATTGGAATGCAGATTCAAGTTATGGGCAGAGAAAAGGGGCATATATTAGTTGATTTTACATGCAACTCGAATATAAGTATAATAAGTATTTATGATATATTAATTAATTTTCAGCTTTGATATCTGATAGTTGAGGATTGAAGAGAGAAATCCATAAACTGGACAAAAATCAGCTTAAGAAATAATATTATACATATATATTTATATAAGCAGATGTATGAACAGATAACTGGCTGGGATCTGTGGTACTTGGCACTGTAGGCAAAACTCTGTTAGAGCTAGGAGAAGGCTTGGGCGTCTCCACTTTCGACAGCAGCTTGACTAAAAATCTATCAAGATTACCTTAAATTTTACCCAAGGTACCAGGATGCTATAAGTCTTTCATACTCACAAAGGGGTTGTTGGAGTACCTCGTATGGCTTTAATAAACATTATATAATATGCTATAGAATCTGTATTCGTATGCTACATCATGTACTTTTCATACATTGCCTAAGAAATATATTTAATTAGCTTATATAAATATTAAGATTGGCTAAAAACTAGCAGGATAATTCTGCAAATATTTATTAAAAAAAAAAATACTATAGAGTAAATAAAATTATAAAAAATAAAAAATATATTTAATTAT